ACTGAATACACCTTTGTGACCCAAGCCCAACGGAGTAGGCAATGGCCGCCATAGCTCAAAACCATACCGACGGAGATTCTCGTGTGGCACGTTCCGAATGACCCCACACCTCAGATCGAATGCAGCTCAACTTTTGCATTACTTGGGGGAGCCTATTAGCACAAGGGCTATGAAAAGATACACTTTACCCTGTAGTTGCACTGATGACTCACTATTTTCTTAAAACGAACGGACTATAATCGATTTGTTGGTAGTAGTGTTGGAAAGTTAAAAGATGAGGCAGACAATGGATATTACACGATCGTAGCAATGCAAGCAAACAGCAATTTCAAACAAACCCAGTGTCGATTAGACAAACTCAAATAAATAAGTATACAGATATTTCGAAGGGGTACTCGGTTACATGTTTACTGTCATTATTCCCTATCAAACCCATAAAAAGTCTATGGATAAATTAGTGAATTTAAGTGACTTTTTAATGATATATTTTAAATTAACACAATAGTGCGAAATTCTTCATTATTCGACTATATTTTTCTTGTAAGTTGTCAGATGAAGCTTCTACTAACGTTCATTAATATAAATAAGTATTACGAACAATATTAATCAAAATCCTTAATTAAATATAAAATTTGTAAAAAATATGTTTAATATTTTTCTTTTATTCCTATAAAACATATACAAAATAGATTGAATTGATTAAGTGTCGCTTCAGATATGGCTGCAAATTAACTGATATTGATTAATTAATTAATTAATTTATACTATCCTGGCACTCACGATACTTATTAAAATAAAAATCGGATTCAGTGTTCGTAAAATAATTATTTCTAATATTTATTAAATCACAAAATAAGTAATTAGTAAAAAGTCTAAAATCATCTAAAAAAGTTAAACTGGTTAGAGTTCGTTTTTAAGGAACAGAAGTCATTTGTTTGCGGTTCGTTCTGCGCGTTAGCGTAACGGGAAAAAAACTAACAACGTACCGTTGTTAAGTATCTGTGCTTGAGAAATTTCACAACGGAACATGTCAGTCAAGATTAACGACAAACCTTAGTGGTTGATGCTCCACCGTATTCTACAGTTAAACGTTGATGCGTCGAATTCACGTGGAGAAGTATATAAACCAAGAACCACACTGGCTTGGGACTTAATGACGGCAGTAAACGAATGAATGGTAAAAAGTTCAAAATATTTATTTCAGCAGCTCTTGACGGTAGCGTTTAAGAAACATATACATTTTGAAAGATAGTCTGCATAATATTTAACATAAACGATAGGGCGTGAAAAGGTATTCCCGCGTTGGGTAATTTGAATGCTTACTGATGCGCACAAACAAACTAAACAAATATATTCCACGCATTTTTAGAACTGTTTCAATAAGATCGTTTTTTGGCGATAATGTCTTTTTACGAACCCGCAACAAAATTATAGTCTATAACTTGGAAAAGACCATCATCTCCAACTTCTAAGAAATTTAATTAATTATGTTATTTTAATTATTTGTAACTATGGGTTCTCTTCTGTGATAATAATGAGAATTACTTATGACGTATGGAAAGCGAGCAGCTGTAGCGCGTCAAGAAACTAAAATATCAAGACAATCAAAGACAAGTGATTTCAATTTTCGAGGGCACAATACTGAAGTTTGCAGAGGGCATACCGTAATCTCGATTTTGTCAGATAAAACGGTTCCCACAAAACTCCCAAAAAAGGGAGAAAGAAAAAAAAAATAATTAAGAGTGTGCGTATGTGACTCTTTGTCACTCTGTGATTTGGGCCCCAAATGAAGATAAAGTAGTAAAAGTATAAGTTAATGTTGGAAAATGTTCACAACAAGTTTGCTAGATTTTTATATCTTAAATTATATGGAGTGTATCCGGATTGTTCGTTATTGTATCCAACTCTGTTTGTTCTCCTTATGGTAGGATACAGTAAACTGGAAGCAGGGAGGAAAGTATCGCTAGCCACATACTTATTTAAGGTGTTACAGGACGTGATTAACAACCGAGTTATCCTGCAGGAGATGAATTTGTGCGCGCCAAATCCAAGTGGCGGAGACGTGCTGTCACGCGCGAGAAACATCTTATTACGCGAGGCGCCGCGCTGCTCACCCGTGCCCTAATCGGTACCCTCAAATCGGTGGCTGATCGAATTGATTTATTCGGATGTTCCTTCCGATGATGTTATTTCCGTGTTTTAGTTTATAGACTTATGATATCTAATATAACTGAAGTCTGTCTTATCTATCGGGTAATTCTGTAATGAGAGTTGTAAGTGGATATAATAAAAATTAAAAATAATATCACGCGATTTTTATACTTTAAGTAGTACGGAATCTATCCTTGTTTTCCACTGATGTATCCGAGTCTGTTTGTACTGGGGATGGTTGGTTACAGCCGCTTAAGTGTGAGAAGAGCCATCACGCTTATTAAATATGTGTGGAAAGTATTACGTGGATGGATATATCACCCAGATGTGCTCACTGCGTTAAAGCTGCGGGTGCCTAATAATCACGTGTGTTCTCGTCGTCGTCCCCCCATTACTCCTCGTGCCCGCTGCTAGGACGAAGTTTCTTCAGAATGTACCATGGTCACGGGTTACCTATGTTAATATCATCTCACAGGATATTGACATATTTGCATGTAGTGAGACGAAATTCATGGTTGCAGCATACAAATGCGTCGAAAATTGTAATGTTTTCAATTAGTATTTTATTTTACCATCAATTTGATAGATTTCATACTAGATACCATTATTTATTAGTCAGTAGTTTTCTTATATTTAGGTTAGTTATAGCATCGCATTGGTTTAATAACTGTAATGATGTTATAATTGTGTTAAATAAATAAATAAATAATAAAAATAAAACTAATTGCTGAATTACTGTGCCATGGAGCGGTTAAAACATTAAATACCTGTAAGATTCTCATTCCAACTTTAAGAAATAGTTTGAAACTGATTATGCTATTTCCAATTATACATTCATAAATTTTACAATTGAACTATATTCGGACATCATCTATCAAACTGAGAAAATAAATCAGTAACCAATATAAATGAAAAGCAATAACTCAACACACGGCTTCGGTAACCTTTAGGGAAATCATGTACCGCATAAGAAATTGAATACAAGAAGAAGTGAAAATGCCACTGAATAATTAATATTAACCAATATTAAGAAAGGTCCTCGAATGGAGGCTTCGTACAGCTAAATGAAGTATAAGGTCACTAGACGGAGTGGCCACATTGGTAACAGATGTAGAAAATCGGTAGACGCAGGTGACTCAGGACCGTGATTTGTGGCGTTTCTTGTGGGAGACTGTTTACTGTTAGGATGTTTACCAGAGGCTTTGTAAGAGACTGTAAAGATAATAATAATATCTTTTTTATAGAATAAGGGTGACAAGCGAACAAACAGTCCACCTAATGTGAAGTGGATGCTGTGACCCATAACATCTACATATTCTCTCAAATTAGAATCAAAATGCAGATGCGTTGCCACCTCCGAGGACTTAGATGGAATGCCTCATTTACAGTAGTAAAAAGGGCCTTCGGTTCTCTACACCCACCACACAAAACATAGTAGTATAGTTGTAGCACGAATGGATCGACTCGACTGGGGAAGGACCCTGCTCTCACAGAATACCATGGTAAAATATTAATGATGCTGTTTTTTGTATGGTGAGTGTAGAGAACCGGAGACCCTTTTTACTTTTTACTTTTACTGGAAACGAGCCATTTCATATTAGTTTTTAGTCCTCATGCGAAAACACAGTGTCAGTTTTATCAGGTGTGAGGTATGATATGGTCGACCGAGGCAGGGTTTTGTCTATGGTGAGATGGTTAACAGCCGCCGTGTCTTCAAGAGTAGATTGAAGGTTTGCCAAAATCACCAGAATCAACTAAAAATGGATAAATTGGCTACTAATCATTCAAAACAAGACTTTAAGAAGTTTTGGAAGTCCACAAATAAACTCAGCGTTGGACGTAGTCTCCCTAAAGCAGTAAATGGGGTTAATGACATGAAGCAAATTTCAGATCTCTTCAGGGATTAGTTTATGATCACGTCACCCCTAGGGATGTCGTCACATCCCATGTCCAATATTGAGGCCACAATGGTGTGAACTCAAAATGGTAGCGACAAAATGATGTGTTATTAGAACTATGGTTGCAGGTAAGTCACCCGGTCACGATGGTCTCAGTATTGAGCAATTTAAATATGCAGGTGTATATAGATTTTGGCACTATTATTTAATGTTGGTGTTTGGCATTCCTATCTGCCTGCCGACTTAATGAGACCTTCAGTTGTTCCCATTGTAAAAAACCGTACTGGTGACGTACCAGAGACATTGAACTACAGACCAATATCCTTGGCTACGACAGTAGCCAGGATATTTGACAGTATGCTTAACTCTATTCTAGAAAACCACTGTATGCTACGTGATGGCCAGCATGATTTAACGCGTGGTTTAACGGCTAAAACAGCATTAATGAGTTTAAAGCATATTGTTAAATATTACACGAACAGGCGCACACTGCTGTACTGATATCTGAGTGATGAGAGATGATATGAGTAAAGTTTTCGATCTTGTCTCGTACGACATCTTGTGGCGTAAGTTAGAAGGCGTAGGTTTACCTGATAGCTACATCGATTTGCTTAAGTATTGGTATAGTAATCAAGTGAACTATGTGAGATGGACGAACGAGTAGTGCGGGTTGAGGCAAGGGGAGCCCCCCATAGATGTAAGTTTTACTCTTCTAACAATTTCTATGGATTCAAGTTGTCCGAAATAAACAATATTTATTTTATTAATTTATTTATTTATTGAGAAATAAATGTATTTTTTTAAATGATACGGTGAGCGAATCAGAGGGGAATCAAATAATAATAATAATAATAATTCGAGAGGCGCAGTACGCCTCTCGAAAATCGACCGCGACTTCCCCGCATAGCCCTAAGCAAGCGGAATCGGGCTGTCGTGAGGGCTCTGAACCCAATGCTGGTAACCTATTTGGAAGCCAGCCGGGACCTTTGCGAGACGGACTCAATTCTTTTTGGCGCCGCGCTGGCAGTCTGCCGTATCATAGGCGCCAAGGTTTCCACGGCTGGACGCGCTACTGGCCATAGTAGCGCTATCCCAGCATGGAGAAGAAGAATTGAGGAACGTATCGCAAAAGCTAGAGCTCTCATCGGCAGACTGATATGCTTCAGATCAGGCAACAACAGGCCAAGAAATGTGCGCACCGTCAGGATGGCGTTTGCTGGGACAAATGTCAGTTTGTCCCAGTCGGATGTAACGCAAAAACTGACGGAGCGCATAGATGACCTGAAGCAGAGAATCGCTGCTTGGGGAAAGCGGATTCGGCGATATACCGAGAGGTCGACACGGTTCAACCAGAATCGTCTCTTTCAGAGTGATCAGAAGAGGCTCTATGAATCATTGGAGCGACCAATGGTAAGTGGAACGGGTCCAGCACCGAATCAGGCCGACACTGTAGCATTCTGGCGCGGCCTGTGGTCAGAGCCCGTAAACCACAGCGAGGGCCCTTGGACGGAAGTTGTGGCGAGTCAGTGTGCGGGTATTACGCCCATGGACCCCGTCATCATAACGCCGGATGACGTAGCTGAGGCGGTCCGTAGGGCCCCGAACTGGAAAAGTCCGGGGCTTGACGGGCTGCATCACTACTGGCTGAAGGGGTTCATGGTGTGTCACTCTGTGCTCGCCCGACAGTTTCAAGAGGCTCTCAACCAGAAGTCGCTCCCAAGCCTCTTCACTACTGGAATCACTCATTTGGTTCCTAAAGACCAGGGTACCACAGACCCGAGCAAATACCGCCCCATCACGTGTCTACCGACCATATACAAGACACTAACATCCATTTTGAGCGCGAGAATCACTTGTCACCTGGACTCCAATCAGGTGATGTCGCGCTCTCAAAATGGATGTCGGGGGCGGTGGTCGTGGAACCAAGGAACCACTCCTCATTGACGCGGTCATTGGCAAAGTGGTGAAACGCAACCGTCGGAATTTCTCCGCCGCCTGGATAGACTACAGAAAGGCATTCGACTCGGTGCCCCATACATGGCTAGAGAGAGTCCTCGAGCTGTACAAGATAGACTGTACAGTTAGAGACTTCCTCGGGCAGCGTATGGGGCAGTGGAGTACGATCCTTTGTCATCTGGGCGAGCGGATGATGGCTGCGGAAAACCACATAAGGATAAGAAGGGGTATCTTACAGAGCGATTGTCTGAGTCCAATCTGGTTCTGCCTCTCTCTGAACCCTCTCAGTACCTTACTGGAGGGCTCCGGGAGGGGATTTCAGCTACGGAAAGGAGGGACAAAAGTGACCCACCTTTTCTATATGGATGACCTCAAGTTATTCGCCTCCAGTCGCTCCCATCTTATGGAATTGCTAAACATCACTTGTGAATTTAGCAATTCCATTGGAATGGAGCTGGGGACGGATAAGTGTGCGGTCCTCCATGTTGAAAGGGGAAGGGTTGCTAACTCTGAGGGCGTAGACTTATCTATGCCCGTCAACTTAAGGACCCTTTCCGAGGCTGAAACATACCGATACCTGGGTATGTCACAAAACATCGGTATCGATGAGACTGGTATGAAACAGTCAGTTTGCGACGTGTTTTATGCACGCTTGACCAACGTGCTCGGTTTTCTGAGCGCGCTCACCATCCATAATCGCGAAGTGTGCAGCCTCCGTGATTACTTCCTGGCGAGATCGGATGATCCATTCTATAATGACGTCATTTCTAGTGATAAAGGACTTACCCCTCTATCCTTAGCCAACGAGCAATGGCAAGACCCGGCAGTGCAGAGCATTTCCGACCGGGAGACCGTATGGAAGGAGAAGGAGCTCCACGGGAGGTTCTACAAGGCTCTACATGAGCCTTTCGTAGACACAGTAGCCTCCCTCCACTGGCTACGCTTTGGTGATCTCTTCGGGGAAACCGAGGGTTTTGTCTGTGCAATACAGGATCAGGTTATTAAGACCAACAACTATCGGAGATACATCCTAAAGGATGGCACCGTCGACATCTGTCGAGCTTGTCGCCATCCCGGTGAGTCACTTAGGCATGTTATCTCCGGTTGTTCGGCGCTTTCTAACTCTGAGTACTTGCACAGGCACAACCTAGTAGCCAGAATTCTACACCAGGAGCTCGCTCTGAAATACGGTCTCGTGGATCGGAAATTGCCGTATTACAGGTACTTGCCGGAAGCCGTGCTCGAAAATGATCGCGCCAGGCTCTATTGGGACCGGGCCATCATCACACACAGGACTATTCTTGCGAATTAGCCTGATATTGTGCTGATGGACCGGGCACAGTCAAGGATATTTTTGGTCGACATTACCATTCCGTATGACGAGAACCTCGTGAAAGCCGAAACAGACAAGCAAACAAAATATCTGGACCTGGCTCACGAGGTGACTGACATGTGGGGTGGTCTGCCGACCGAAATTATTCCTGTAGTCGTCTCTGCAAACGGGCTAATCCCAGTCAGCCTCTCGGGTCATCTGAGGCGGCTGGGACTACGTGGCGGACCGCTCCAGGTTCAAATGCAGAAGGCGGTGCTCCTCGATACCGCCCGCATCGTCCGCCGGTTTCTTTCCTTTTCCCCCTAACCCTCGGCCGTTTGGTCTCCCCTGCCGAGGGCCTCCATCTGGTTGGGCTTTTATTTATTTATGTACTTTTATATTTATTTTATGTTATTGATATTTATGTATATTTATCTTTTCATTTTCATTTATAATTATATATTTATAGAACCCAAGCAGATGAGAAAACTATATAGATACCCCACAATAATAATAATAATAGTAAATTTATTCATAAGAAATATGGTACAAAGATGTTCGTATAAAATAATAATGTATCACATATTTCACCAATTTTGGTATATGAAAACTTTTGCTTAAAATATACGATAGTTAAGTAATTAAACGTGAATCGAAACTAATAATCGTACTTTTCTGTCCCTAATCAATTGATTGTAGTTCACTAAGCTTTCAGACATAATAAGATTTTCGACGCGAGAAGAAAAACTACGCCTTCCAATTCCCTCAGAAACAAATTTCAGTAACAAATCTACTACGTGTGGTATTTTCAATTTGGTAGTACAAGTCAAAATGCGAATAGTTTTTTTTTATATAATAAGGCTGACCAACGAGCACAAAGTCAACCTGATGGTAAGTGGATGCTGTGAGCTAAAGACATTTAGATCTATCCTCAAATAAGAATCAAATTGCAGATACGTTAATGCTCCTAAGGACAAATATAGAATGCCTCATTTCTAGTAAAAAGGTTTTGGATTTTCTACACTCATTATACGAAACACAGCAGCATGAACCTATTTCAAAAAGTTTTTAATAACTACTTAGTAAGTAATTTTATAAAAAGAATACCAGACAAACGGGCATCTTTGAGTATCGCTACATCAAAGATGTCCGGTTGTTGACTGGTAGCAAATGGGTAGCGGGTTGGAGTCTCAGCCGCGATAACATCGAAGTTTAATCGCACCGTGAGATCGAACAATACATTGCCATTTGGGTTGTTCGTGAGTATCAGGAGGAATGCTTACTATTGAGATCTCCAACTATTATGACACTGGGGGCTTGGCTTAGTAATTCTTAAATGTCTGAGTCTATAATACGCTTCATTGGCGTTTGATACGCGTAAACTATGGTAAGTGGCGAATGGCCAGATATAGCTACCTTACTATACCTTCTATGTTACTAAGCGCTCCTACGCACTAGCGGTTAGCCGCTGGGGCGGCTAACCGCGTGGTTAGCCGCTTTTCGAGTTTAATATGCAACCGCTAGTGATCGTACGTACTTAACCGATACAAAATTTCAACCGCGGCGGTTGAACGAAGAGCCGCGGCTCGTCTCGCGGCTGGTCGCTATTTTGTTTGTACGCAGCCGTTTAGTTCGCGGCGTGCCGCCGATGTGTATAGCCAATTCGAGTTTCAGATGTGAAGCCAAAAACTTGGATACAGGAAAATTCGTTGTTGAAGTTGAACAACGAGAAGCTAATTGGAATTTTGATGTAGCATCATATATTATTCTTATAAGAATAGAGATTTAAAACGAAAACAAATGTAAAGGATAAATCTAGTATCTATTTTTAATTTTTTTTTACTTGTTTTCGTTGTTTATGTTAGTTTGTCCCAGCCAGATGTAATGCAAAAACTGACGGAGCGCATAGACGACCTGAAGCAAAGAATCGCTGCTTGGGGAAAGCGAATTTGGCGATATACCGAGAGGTCGACACGGTTCAACCAGAATCGTCTCTTCCAGAGTGATCAGAAGAGGCTCTATAAATCATTGGAGTGACCAATAGTAAGTGGAACGGGCCCAGCACCAAATCGATCACGCTTCCAGCCTGTGATCAGAGCCCGTAAACCACAACGAGGGCCCCTGGACGGAAGTTGTGGCGAGTCAGTGTGCGGGTATTACGCCCATGGACCCCGTCATCATAACGCCGGATAACGTAGCTGAGGCGGTCCATAGGGCCCCGAACTGGAAAAGTCCGGGGCTTGACGGGCTGCATCACTACTGGCTGAAGGGGTTCATGGTGTGTAACGCTGTGCTCGCCCGACAGTTTCAAGACGCTCTCAACCAGAAGTCGCTCACAAGCCTCTTCACTACTGGGATCACTCATTTGGTTCCTAAACATAAGGGTGCCACAGACCCGAGCAAATACAGCCCCATCACGTGTCTACCGACCATATACAAGACACTAACATCCATTTTGAGCGCGAGAATCGCTCGTCATCTGGACTCAAATCAGGTGATGTCGCGCGCTCAAAATGGATGTCGGGGCAGCGGTCGTGGAACCAAGGAACCACTCCTCATTGACGCGGTCATTGGCAAAGTGGTGAAACGCAACCGTCGGAACTTCTCCGCCGCTTGGATAGATTACAGAAAGGCATTTGACCCGGTGCCCCATACATGGCTAAAGAGGCTCCTCGAGCTGTACAAGATTGACTGTACAGTTCGAGACTTCCTCGAGCAGTGTATGGGGCAGTGGAGTACAATCCTCTGTTATCTAGGCGAGCGGATGACGGCTGCGGAAAGCCGCATAAGGATAAGAAGGGGTATATTCCAGGGCGACTGTCTGAGTCCAATCTGGTTCTGCCTCGCTTTGAACCCACTCAGTACTTTACTGGAGGGCTCCGAGAGGGGATTTCAGCTTCGGAAAGGAGGTACAAAAGTGACCCACTTTTTCTATTGGATGACTTCAAATTATTCGCCTCCAGTCCCTCCCATCTTATGGAATTGCTAAACATCACTTGTGAATTTAGCAATTCTGTTAGAATGGAGCTGGGGACGGATAAGTGTGCGGTCCTCCATGTTGAAAGGGGAAGGGTTGCTAACTCTGAGGGTATAGACTTATCTTTACCCGTCACTTAAGGGCCCTTTCCGAGGCTGAAACATACCGATACCTGGGTATGTCACAGAACATCGGTATCAATGAGGCTGGTATGAAACATTCAGTTTGCGACGTGTTTTATGCACGCTTGACCAAAGTGCTTAACAGTCTTTTGTCCGGTGTGAATAAGACACATGCATATAACGGTTGGGTCATGCCTGTCCTCATGTATACCTTTGGCATACTCAGGTGGAGTCAGACTGAACTTAACGCCCTGGATAGAAAAGTCCGCACTAGCATGACGTCCCATAGGATGCATCATCCGAGATAGTCGGTAATGAGGCTGTACTTGCCGCGAAAGCATGGTGGGCGCGGTTTTCTGAGCGCGCTCACCATCCATAATCGCGAAGTGTGCAGCCTCCGTGATTACTTCCTGGCGAGATCGGATGATCCATTCTATAATGACGTCATTTCTAGTGATAAAGGACTTACCCCTCTATCCTTAGCCAACGAGCAATGGCAAGACCCGGCAGTACAGAGCATTTCCGACCGGGAGCCCGTATGGAAGGAGAAGGAGCTTTACGGGAGGTACTACAGGGCTCTACATAAGCCTCACGTAGATACAGCCGCCTCCCTCAACTGGCTACGTTTCGGTGACCTCTTCGGGGGAAACCGAGGGTTTTGTCTGTGCAATACGGGATCAGGTTATTAAGACCAACAACTATAGGAGATACATCCTAAAGGATGGCACTGTCGACGTCTGTCGAGCTTGTCGCCATCCCGAGGAGTCATTTAGGCATGTCATCTCCCGATGTTCGGCGCATTCCGTATGACGAGAACCTCGTGAAAGCCGAAACAGAGAAACGAACAAAATATCTAGACCTGGCACACGAGGTGAACGACAAGTAGGGTGGTATGCCGACCGAAATTATTCCTGTAGTCGTCTCTGCGAATGGGCTAATCCCAGTCAGCCTCTCCGGTCATCTGAGGCGACTGGGACTCCGTGACGGACCGCTCCGGGCTCATATGCAGAAGGCGGTGCTCCTCGATACCGCCCGCATCGTCCGCCGGTTTCTTTCCCTTTCCCCCTAACCCTCGGCCGTTTGGTCTCCCCTGCCGAGGGCTCCCATCTGGTTGGATCTTATTTATTTATGTAGTTTTTGTGTTTATTTTATTTTATTGATATTTATGTATATTTATCTTTTCATTTTAATTTATAATTATATATTTATAGAACCCAACCAGGTGAGAAAATTATATAGATACCCCAATAATAATAATGTTTATTTGCAAGAACATGGTTGTACGAGGGCGGCACTGAAAATTTCGGGAATCAAGGAAGTGACACAACATTACTATTTAAAAATGTATTTATTGCTTTTCGAAGTATTCTCCACGAAATTTGACACATTTTTCCATACGATGGAACCAATCATTGAAGCAACCATTCCATTTGGAAGTTAAGTTTGTTAAGAAAAAACTGCTTCTTCAGGTGATGAAAATCTCTGTCCACGCAATTTATTCTTTATTTTAGGGAAAGTATAGAAATTATTAGGGCTTGCGTCGGGGCTGTACAGCTGATGGTCTAATAATTCTATGTTTTCTTGCTCTAAAAACTCTTTTGTTCTGTGTGCGGTGTGAGAAATCGCATTGCCGTGATGGAGGATGATGCGGCGGTTGCAGTTCTCTTTACGGAGTTTAGAAACGACCTCTGGCAAAAAATGCTAGCATACCATTCTGAATTAACAGTTCTTTATCCCTCAAGAGGAATAATCGTAACAGGCTGGTTTTGGAGACAAACGTGGCCACCATTTTTTTTGCAACACTCCGTGAACGAACAATTTTTGTTGGCTTTAACTCATTTTCGAACACCCAAACTCGTGACTGGTTTTTTGTTTCGGGTTCGTACGCATATATTCAGGATTCGTCACTTAATATGCTGTTGTATAAAGTATTTGAGGATCCTGCGTGGAATCTTTCGAGAGTTCTGACGCACCAAGTAACGCGAGCCGCTTTTTGCTCTTCACAGAGCGAATGCGGTATCCATCGGGAAAACAACTTTTTTACACCTAATTGTTCATGCAAGATTATTTGTATTTGACTCATGCTAATGTCTACAGTTGCCTGAACTTTGCAGTATGTCACATGTCGATCTTCCTCAATCAGCTTACGCACAGCATCAACGTTTTATTGGGTGACTGCAGTTTTTGGACGACCTTGACGGGGATCGTCACTGAGCTTGACACGTCCACGTTGAATTCAGAAAACCAGCGATAAATTGTTGTTTTGAATGGGGCTTCATCACCAAATGCAGAAATCATCCGGTCAACAAACTGTTTTTGTGTTAAACCACTTCGAAAGTCATAACAAATCATCGCTCTTGAATTTTCTCGAGTCAATTCCATTTTCTCAACGACTAAACAAGTTTGACAAAACCTTGTGACAAGACCGAGAATCTTTTTTTAAATAAATAAATGGTATTCGATTTTTAAAACCAAGGAGTTTTCAATTAAAAAGATTTAAATATGAAAGGAACAGTGGAAATATTCCATTCCCGATATTTTTAGTTCAGCCTAGGTACAATGGTGTTCGAGTATAATTTGTTCTACATATTCTACCTGAGTGGTGTGCAAATAGTCATAGTCAAGTACCCATAACTTATACAATACTTATCGATTAGATGTGGGTATCAATTGCGTCGACTTCTTTTACAAACTCTTTTGTTGTACGCCAACAGATGGCGCCATAGGGTTAGTTTTATTGGAAGGAAGGTTGCGATAGAAAAGTAAGGAAGGCAAGCCAGAACAAATAGAATGAATATTATGTTGAAAATAGATTATTACATAGTAATTATTGAAAGTAAATTTTTTTATTTACTACTGATTTTGACAATACCTGTCCTGGAAAAACCAGCAAGAAACCCAGCAGGATATTTTTTTTAGTAATAAAATTTTAAAATAATTTTCTACAACTATTTATATGAATTATTTAAGAATCAGCATGGTAGCAATCACCTCATTTCTAGGGGTTATTTTCATTTTATTTTTCCTTAATATCATTGTAATATAGGAAAGGTGTCAATGAAGGAGACGTGTGGTTGGTACTAAAACTTTAATTAGACTGCTCATTATTCTACCTTAACACTAAAGTATATTAACGTGGGAGCACTACACTACACCTCCCACCGACAAAAGAATAAAAAATATGCTATCTATTTTTCTTTCAATTCTTAAAATAGATCATTAAGATTATTCTAAAAAAGCTTAATATCATTATGAAAACTATAATGTAAGACATATCTAGCACGCAAAAATGCATAGTCACAGTAGTATAATTGACATAATTGGGTATAATTATGTATAACATAAAATTATGTTTTGATTTTCACGAAAATTTACAATACTACTATTAAAATACTCGTATTTATTCGTATCCTTAATCATTTTGTTATTATGCCTACTATTTATCTAGTCAGGACAATAATGATAATATATATATATATATATATATATATATATATATATATATATATATATATATATATATATATATATATATATATATATAAATTACGTGTCACTACGGCTCCTAAACTACTCAACCGATTTTAATAAAATTCGCACACCGTACGCAGTTTGGTCCAGCTTGAGAGATAGGATAGTTTTTTTTGACCATGAGTGACTTACATATTTTTTGCAAATTTAAGGATTTTAATAGTCTACGAGGGTGGATTGAAAAGTACTCGGCCTAACCAAGAAAATAAACACATACTAAATCAGTTATATTTTTATTTTTCTACATAATCACCTTCAAGTTCAATACACTTTTGCCACCTCCCCTTCCAAGCATTTAGACCGTTGAAAAAAATGATTCTTCCTTAGAGTCAAAATATGCGTCTACAGCTGCTTTGACCTCGTCGTTTGTCGAAAATCTTTGACCTCCCAAGTGCTTTTTTAGGTTA